TTCATTTCAGTAAGAATTTCTTTTATTTTTTTACAACGTTGCTTCTCTTCATCATTATCAACTTTTATTGGTTCACATATGAATGTCCGTCTAGAAACAGCACGTGGAAATCCGAAAACACACAAAGTCTTATGATTTTTTAAACAACGCTTTGAATGATTACGAGAATGAGTTTGTACTTCTTTGATACTATTGTGTAATTCAGCATCTTCATCTAACGATGGAAATCGAGTTGTGATGTATTTGTCACAAAATTTCACAATCTCTTCACGAGTTTTTTCATCTGTTTGAGGTCCATTGTACTTAGGTGCACCTTCTACCCAGATTGGCATATGTGAATGTGGTGAACCTCGTAATTGCATTTCTATACGTGCAAACCAGTCTTTTACATTTCCGACACACCATGCTCCACCTTTAATAAATAAATTCATGAAAGAAGTAAATCTTCTTTCAAACAAACGAGCAGCTAGAACAGGATTAGCTCGTAAAAGTTTTGTTTTTTCTTCAAATGTATATGATTCTTTAACTGGAAGTCCTGTATGACGTATAAATGTATCAACAAATTCTTTCCAACGTAAATCAGCACATGACAAAGTAATAAAAAATGTTGGAAATCCTAATTGACGTGTCATTCCGAATAAATCTTTTAGTCGTTGATGCCAATACTGTGGACTACCTCGGACAGATTGCAAATGACGATATATCATATCTTTATTCATTAGAAATTTCATTTGCATTTCATCCAAACTTTGTTTGGCACTCATTGGTAACTTTTTTCGGAAAGCAATATTAATTCCGGAGTACACTTGTTTTAAATCGCCTAAATACTGTAGATAAAAAATATAACTTGAATCTGCAGCAAAGCGAGAATCTGATGAAAACAAACGTGCTTTACAATATTCTTTCCATTGTAGATTTGTTTCACGTTCTTCATCATATGAGCCTTGTCCATCTGGAAATAAATGAGGAAAGGCTAAAGCTTCAATTGTTTTATCTGTTAATAATGAACTCAATTTATTTTTTTCAGCTGGTGCTAGTACACATGGTTCTTTATCAAAGACTAAAAAATCATTAAAATCACATGGTTGAGTACATGAATCTGTACCAATATTATATTTAGTACGAATGTCTTTATCATCTTCATTTATCTCTTCATCACTATTAATAGTATTATCAATATCACCTAATGCTAATGCTTTTAGACGTTTTTCATTAGATACTTCTGTTTCTTCAATTAAATTTTCTTCTGAAATTGTGTCAACATCCATTGGTTCAACTACTAACTCAATGTTATTATCATAGCTTTTTTCTTGATCAGATGTAAGATAATTTTCATCAATTTCATTTATCTTTATATTTTTATAGGCTGGATGCATCTTAGTTAAAATAAATAGTGCATCTCTTACATCATTTGGATTTATTAATTGTTCTTCCCACACAGCTTTATATTTTAGTCGTCGTTTCAATTGTAATCGAACCATCATAGATTTATCAACTGGACGAGGTAATGCTGTTACAGTATCTTGTACATCTGATGGTACACAATGAAGTGGTCCTTTAGTACCTTTTTGTGCTAATCTACTTGATAACTTTCCTGATGTTAAATTTACAATTTTCATAAATGGTAGTCTCAAAGCAATTAAATGTTTTTCAAGATTATTTAATCTTTTTAGTTCAAACGGAACTTCACATACTTTCAATTTATTCACAATTGTTCGACTAGGCATTTGTCGTTTCTTTATTTTATCTGAACATAATTTACAGATCCATTTACCTTGGCTTGATGATGAATAGTTGAAGTAAGATTGGATATGTTTTTTTATTTCATATGGCATGTTTTGTTTTATATACTTTTCTTCAACAAATGGTATGACCTGATTACGGAAAAGTGCTAATCGGCATGATATACAAATGCAATCTGGTCCTTCTCGAATTATCTGTTGAAATTTATTCAAATTATTTATGTATAAATCATCATGTTTAGCTGCACATTTATGACTTTCAATAACAATATATTTTTTTATAATACGTCTATGTTGATTATAAAGTTGTCTTTGATGTTGTCTCATTGCAGTATTATTAGCTCGATACCAATTCAATGATCGTTCAATTCTTTTCAATCGTATTAATTTATCTGATTTATACTTGTTCGAAGCGTGAATTTTCATACGTTCTTTATATGCATCACGAAAATCTGAATTATTATGATATTTATTTAACATATGAATTTTTGATTTTGCTATATCTTCATTACGAAATTTTGCATTATTACGATATTTATTTAACATATAGATCTTTCTTTTTAATTTTACTTCTTCACGGAAATTTGAATTGGTACGATATTTTACTAAACTATGCCTTTTCACTTGAGTTTTTTGTTTCTCACGAAAATTATTATTATTTTGATATTTATTTTGAAAGTATTTTTTTGCACGTTCATTCTTTTTTTCTCGAAATAAAACATTATTACAGTATTTTTTCTTGAACCAAATTCTCTGTCTACTGAGCTTGAAAATTGATGTTTCGTTATTGAAAATACCTCCTGACGTTTTGCTATCCTTTCGAATTTGTAATTGTCTTTTTCGTTCATTGTCTAGACGAGAAACTTTTGATACAAGTTTTTTAATGATATCTTTAATGATTTTATAATCGTCAAATTGCTCTTTCACCGTGATCACACCAGAAAATATACCTTGCATATCTTTATTAACAAAGTCGACGCAATCTAAAGGAATTGCATCTGATTTTAGTTGCCATTTATAGGCTTCTTTTCTTTTTTTCACTTTTGATAAAGTTGATTTTTTACGAACCATGCCTGATGTAATATATGTGATTAAACGTTTGTAAATTGAAAACAATGACCGTTTCTCGTTGAGACTAAGCACGGCATAAACTCTTAAGTGAGAAACGTCTATATCTCTTAACTTGATGAGATATTCAAAAGAAAAGTTTCTTTCGAGCTAGATCTTCTTGATTACTAAGCGAAGATATAGTCGAGACTAAGTAAGAAACTTCAGAAAGTCTAAAACTAGGCGACTTTCTTTCAATTAAACTTTCAATTTATTATTCTTGTGTCTTGTAATAATAATTACAATCAAAAGAAAAGTTTCTTTCGAGCTAGATCTTCTTTATAAGTAAGCGAAGATATACTCGATGCTAAGTAAGAAACTTCAGAAAGTCAACAATTTAGTGTGTTTTTTTTTAATGAAATTTTAAATCTAATGTTGTTTGTTTTTGTAATAATAGTTATAATACATGAAATCTAAAATAAAGTTTAAAAAGTATAAAATTAATAAGATACTATGAGGTAAAGCATTTAAATGTAATCATTGTAGTCCTTAGAAGCAATGATTACAAATTTTATTTATTTATTGAATTATTTCTAGTTGAAAAATGAAACACTACAACTGTGAAACTTTTTAGTAAATGGAAAAAGACAGACCAATAAACAATATTACTTTCTTCACAGAAAAAAAAGCATTGATACTAATGATAAACACAAAAAAAAAACTTCATTCCTCGCTTTTCACCATGTCAAGCTTCACGAATCGTACCACCTTCGCTATATGATGAATGGTTATAAAATATCGAAGAATAATCACTTGATTGATAGCTTGTTTGTTCAAGCAGCTGTTGGATATATCGGATGAAGTGTATGTGGAAAAGGAAAATTTTTTTTTTATCTTCAACATTTATTCCATTTTTAGAAGATTGTCGTGATCGACTAGAATAGCTTTTGCCATTTCGATCGATTCAAAAACAACAAAAGCAAAATTTACTGCACCAACCTGAGAACCTGCATTACCAATACGAAGACGGAGTCTACTATGTGGTCGAAATATTTCATTAATCTAAATTTTAAATAATACATTAATAAACAAGAAAAAAATATTTGTTCTCTTTTTTTTTAAATTTTTTTTTGTTACTTGAGTTGAACGACTTATGACAAATATTTCTTGATCATCAGTACAACTAGTAGAAACATAACATTCTTGTCTATTTTCATAACTCAAGAATCATCATAATAATCATTAACGTCTTATAGATCACTGCATTGTATTTGATTATTATTTCCACCAAATATTCATACATTTTTATATTATTTATTTGATTCGTTTGGTTTGATTTCTGTTGTTATTGATTTTGGTTGACTTTCAGTTTAAGTAGTTGGAAGTTTTCTTTTTAACCAATTATATCTCGATATGATTTCGATTTTGATGTTTGTTTTTTTTTTCTTCAATTTTCGCTCGTTCAATAAATGTTGTTACTGATGGAGTTATATTTCTAATTGAAGAAACATTCATTTCAGCTTTTACTTCTTTTCTTCCATTCATTATATTAGCAAAAACTCTAAATAATGAGGAGTCGTCAGTATTATTGGTGTTTCAATCAATATTGATGAAGTTGTTGTATTGCGAACTTTCATATAATATCACTAAAAAAATTACAAATTATTCATTGGGTGATCAATGACTTCATTGTATTAGTAAAATTGAATAACACTTTTTTTTCTTTATTAAATTTGCTCTGAGAGAAAATAGAGTAAATTCGGAGGAACTATTTTAACAGTGAATTATCATATAAAGATTATTTTAAGAGAGAAAATATCATTCGGATATTTCTAGACTTTTCGAACCATTCCCTATCATTCGCAGTTATTCGAATGAATCAGAATGAACTTTTTTCCTTTTGGATTATTTCGAAATAGCACATAGGTATATGGCAAGTCTATCCTTTAAATTAATATCGACACCGATCTCAAAGATACTCGGTAAAAAATCGAGTCGATCGGGAATGCAAACATCTAGTAATGGACGGTTTTCATCAGATCATAGCCTGACTCAGTAGAAGACATAGGTTTATAGAAAATCTAAGGATTAGACAATTGATTATAATAGTTAGTTTTATTAAATCTCTGAAACAAAACATCCATCTTCTTATACAGTCTGAGTGAATCAAGCTGAAACTTTTACCATATATATCCTTGTTGTGACTCGATGTCTTCTGAAAAATATGATCGATAATTCTTATAATGCCCTATAATGGTCATATGAAAGAGAAGAGTCAGGGAAAATTTCATAAAGGAAATAATGTACGCAATACATATATTACACCAAGTCTCATAGACTTTTTTGAAGAAATATATTGCTTAATTATATACTTAATTAAAATCTCTGAGATTGAGCTTTAACAAATATATTAATATTTGAATTAGGTAATAGTAGTTGTTTACATTTTTCTTGTGTTCGATTATCAATATTTACTAGACATGAATCATTATCTATATTATACTAATATGTTAACCAAATTGAATTAGCTTTATTACAAATCTATTAAAAAAAAGAATTTTTTCTTGTAGAATTTAATGAAAACGAAAATGTTTGAAATGTTATACCGATTGATTAATTTTTTTAAAAATTTTCACCTTCAATAAAAAATTGAATATATTTTTTGACTAACGTAGGTTCTTTTACTAAAAAATTCTACAAATACAGTTAAATCAATATCTTCATTAAGCAATTTTTCAAAACTAACTGCTCACAATGTTGCCGAACAATGTTGTTCATTTAAGTTAATCGAAGCTGATTTAATATTTGTTTCATGTTGAAATGATGATTCATTTTCATTGTTAATTTCTGTTAAAGACTAACAAAAAGAACAGCTGATCATATAATTTAAAGAAAAAGTTATAAACATACAGAACCATTTATTAAAATATAAACTGAAGCAAAATGTATACGTAAATCTTCAACAGATAGTAAAGGATCAATAAATGAACTTGATCAATGATACCGAAAATTATTTGTATCAATTAAATATAAATCATTAACAAATGAATGACACCGAGGATGATCAATACATAAAAATTGACCCGTTGCTATTGTTGATGTTATACTAATTCTTTCTAATTCATTATGAAGTAATTTATCATCAATGAAAGATAATGACGATGAAGATGAACATGGTGTTGGATAAAAATCATCATCTTGGGAAAATCTAAAGAAGAAAAGTATTTTATTGAAATTAATAAATGAATATAAAATTTTACTCAGGTAGTAGTGGAATATATTGTTCACATTGTTCATCTTCATCATCTTATTTTCCAATTGAACATTATAACAGATTTGGTGATGATGATCCCATAGACTATTGAGATAGTGTCCCTGTTGTGCAGGAGTTAATATTTGAATCAATCGATATTGCACAAGAACTATTTGTTAAATATGTATCTGAAAAAAAATATTGTCATAAAAAACTGCTACATCGATTTAATTTAAACCATAATGGATCTATTAGAAATTATTTACATTTTGAAAACAAAATTTTATTTTATTTGATGTTGAATTTAATATTTAACGTTTAAAAAGTTTGTGATGTTCTTTTAACTAATTCATTTTTATTTTTATTTTTATTATTATAATCAATCTTAAAATAGCTAAGATAATCAATTGAAAAAAATGTATATAATATTTGATACTTAAATGATAATGATGATTGAGAATCAATCAGATTAACACCTGGTGTTAAAGATGAATACATGTCGTTTTATTGCTAGTTGATGATGAACTGCTATTAACATCACGAAGATTTCATGGTTTGAACTCCTTAGTAAGAATAGCTTGTCTCTTAACTTGACAGATAATCAAAATGAAAATTTCTTTCGATCTAAATCTTCTTCAATAATCGACAAAGATATACTTGACACTAAGCAAGAAACTTCAAAGTTAAAAATTTGGTAACTTTTTTCAATAAAACTACTAATTTATTGTTACTTTTTTTGTGGTATGGTAATAGTTATGATGAATAAAATCTTAAATAAAGTTTAAAAAAATGCAAAATTAATAAGATAATGTGAAGTAAAGTATTTCAATGTATTCAATATAACCATTAAGAGTCCTTAAGACAAATTTCATTAATTTATCTAATTAATTCTAGTAGACGTGAAATTCTATAACTATGAAATATTCCAGTACATGAAAAAAGAAAGACCAATAAGAAATCAGCTGGAAATTTTTATTTTTAATCAACTGCATCTCGACATGATTTCGGTTTTGATGCCTGCTTTTTTCTTCAATTTTTGCTTGCTCAACAACTGCTGTTATTGATTGAGTTATATTTATAGTTGAAGAAACATTCTTTTCAGTTTTTACTTTTCTTTTCAGTCATTGTGTTATCAAAAAATTCTATATTATGAGGAGCTGTTGATGTTAATGATGTTTCAATGACTGTTGATGAACTTGTTGTAATGGGAAGTTTTATATGATGTCAGTAGAAAAAAAATTGCAAATTAGTTGTCCGGTGAATAGTGATTATTTACGTTCTTGTCGTGCTCGATTATCAATATTAATTCGACAGGAACTATCATCTGTATCATGCTAATATAGTACCCGAAATGAATTAGCTTTATTACGAATCTATATAAAAAACGAATTTATATTATAGAATTTAATGAAAAAAGATATTTAAACCTCATCTTGATTTATTCACTTTATACAATTCTCACATTCAATCAAAAATTGAATATTTTCTTGACTAAATTCTGTTTTTTTTTTAAATTTTGTAAATACATTTAAACCGATATTATCATTAAGTAATATTTCAAAACAAACTACTCATGATGTTCCTGTACAATGTTGTTCATTTAATTAAATTGAATCTTCATTAATACTTGTTTTATATTGCAATGATAATTCGTTCTTCATTATTAATTTCTGTTAAAGACTGATGAAAAAAAAAAATTGATCATAGAATTTAAAGAAAAATTTATCAACATACATGACCAATTGTTAAAATATAAGTTGAAGCAAAATGTTCTCGTAAATCTTCAACAGATGGTGGAGAATCATCAAATGAATGATTACGAGGATAATAATCAAGTGACAAAAATTTATCCATTGTTCTTGTTGATGTTGAACAAGTTCTTCCTAATTTATTATCAAATAATTTACCATCAAATACAGATGATGAACATGAACATGAATATACTACTGGATAAAAGTCATAATCTTGTCAAAATTCAAAAAAAAAAAGAAAAATATTTTGTTAAAATTAATAATAGAATATAAAATTTGCAAGATTCAATTTTATTTAATGTTGAATTAAATTTTTAAAATTTAAAAAATTTTTGATTTTCTTTTAGCTAATTCTTTTTAATTTTCATTATTATGATCAATATCAAAATAACTAACATAATCAACTGAAGAAAATGTATATCATGTTTGATGCTGAAATGATGATGATGAATAAGAATCAATAACATTAGCACTTGGTGTTAAAAATGCATCCATGCCTTTCAATAAAATAATATAGTTTATTTATGATAATAACATTTAAAGATTTATACTTATGGAACTTTCGATAAGCGTTTACGATTTATATTAGACAAAGATTTTTGATGACATTCATCTAATTAAATCTACTCGACATATGAAAATCGATAACTATGAAACCTCTACGAAGGCTTAGAATCGATTTTCTAAGGAAACAAATATACGCATTGATGTGTTTAATATATGAAGAGAACCCTATAAGCAGCTACCAATAGTTTTCTAATGAAGACAAATAATTGATCGGTTGATTTCCTTTCAGATTCATTATCTATGATCAGCTGCTTTCACAGCTGTTCAACATATGAAAGAGAAGAGAGTGGCACCTAACTTTGCTTTTTATTTTCGATTTTAATTATCTTAAAACGAAGAAATAACTAAGTTGCAAAATTGGTCATTTTCGGAAGGAATTTTTGAGGAAACTAAAAATGCTTTGAGAACAAACTCAACGGACGGTATTGGTTGGATCTCGATACTCGTACCTCGCGTTTGAACTATTGTTTTTAGAGTTTTTGTTCTCAAGATAATCGCGAGAGAAATGACAACTTTTAAAATAGAATTAATTATCTCGAAGCTCGAAAAACACTAAGTCCTTAAAATTTTGTTGTTTTTGGACGCTATTTGTAAGCAAATGGAACATGTTTCCGCAGATTTGAAAACAAAGGGTATCAATTTCATCTCGATATTTTTATCTCGCGTTTGAACGAATATTTTCTGACTTTCCGTTCTGGAGATTATTCGAACAGAAAATGACAACTTTTATGCGTACGTCGAGAAAGTAAAAGAAAAAAAAAGAAAACTCGCGAAGGACTACATAAATGCTGTGCTTCGCACCGCATTAACTAGATGGTATTCGAGTTTCGAATCGAAATCGAATAATTCCTCCACATATCATCGGAGTTAGTTCTCACAATCTACGTAAAAGGTTCTAAG